TAACAATCTATTATTAAGAAACTTGATCGTACACTTTCGCCGTTAGTGCGTTTCCTTGCATATCTGGAGCGTGCTTGATCTGGGCATTTTTACAAAAAGGCGTGACCCGGTTTGGCTTTTTTAAGTACACTATTGCAATCAGTAGGAAATACGTTAGTTCAGTATATTTAGGGTACTAAGCAATGCCTTTGAGAACCCTGTTGAAATCGGTATGCATATGTAGTCAACATAAGATACATGTAATAAATGTTACCATAGAATAGGAGTAATATATATATTCGTATATATATTGTAACAGTAAAATTTAGGCATTGTCTTCCTGAGGATCGAACCTAAAATTGTCAAATAACAGATATTAATTTCATCTGTAAGTGTGAGAAAAGCGTTGATATGTTCTAACAGTGCTTTTCTGTGCGTTTGAACAGTATCTGTAGGGCAAATATACATCAAGATTGTGTTTAAATGCGTCCTTCGAGTTCGCCATTATGACCTCCTCGGGCACTCTGTTCCAGGCTTTGATGACTCGCTATAAAAAGAACGGTTATGGCTATGGCTAGGTTGTTTGACGAAATTACACATGTGCGCTGTTCGCAATGGACATAAACCCTGAATTGATTTCTAAAAAACTTGTCAAAGCTTAGCGGTTAGAGCATTGGCCTCCGGCAAAGGCCTTCTCTGATGCGCGGATTAATATCCCGCCAAACGCCTCGAGTTTTTTCACAATTTGGTCAACTCAAATTAAGCAAATCTGCCAAATCTCCTAATACTTGTCATAGTGTTGTTTACCATCAGAGAAATTACGCATGCAAATCATGTACTTTCCGATTTGTGTCTGGCTGTAGCTGCACAAAGTTCTGTTGGCAGTCAACCCACTATTTAAGACTGTGTGTGGGCATAATCTAATGTAAATTTACTGCTTTTTGCTGAAACACGTACCACGTTATCCCACGGAATGCGTAAATCGGAGCACGAATCGTGAAATACTGTCTGACGCCTTCCACGGAGGTCACTCAACCCCATCTCAATACTTGTCAGTCAGCGAGGTCGGGCAATTCAGTGCTATGGGAGTACATTCCTATGGCAGTTTGGCACATCCGCCTACTTAGTAAAACTGATGATCCAGCAGGCTCGTGTCTTGGAGACTTGCCCGCCGATGGGATAACCCATATGGACTCCGATTGACAGCCAGACTGCAAAGCGTCCTCCCCAATGCGGCATTTATGCATATTTGCTCTTGTATAATCCTAGACTCCTCCTTGAAATCTGGGTTGGGGGGCATAAGGATCTGTATGTGTGTCCACGTATTTACGTGGATTCATTCATCTCACATTCAAGCAGATTGCATGCATGTTCCCGTTTACAGTTATTTCGTGTAAAACCTCACTACTTACTTATAATAAGTACCTTTTATTTTTCAGGTGGCTTCCGCGTTGGCAGACTACCTGTCTGTAAAGTGTGTTCTCTGCTGCGGTGGACGAAGCAATGCGGGTGAAATGGGAAAAACTGTGGAAAAGGGTTCCCAAATCGTCGTAGGTACACCAGGTCGCATTTTAGGTAAGGAATAAGATCTTTGTACTCGGTGGCTTTTTGAATTTTTCCCCATAGTTTCTTTCAAGAAGTCTACTAAGATCCTGCAACTAGCTGGTAGTTCGACCACCGCAGGCGACGATCCCCACCGGTGTCTTATTATGTGGATGCAATTTTTAGTCGCCCATTTCTTTTCTTTGGATGAAGTCTTGTGATCCTTCTAACCCTTACCGACCAGATATTGATGGCGGTACACAGTCAAGACGTGGATACAGTAGCTGGCGGCGTTAAGCGACCCGTCTATGGGTACCATACATAATTTGACGCATCTCGAGGCTGCATTCACGGAGGTCTCGAATCTCATGTATCCGGAAGTACAATAAGGGCCGCATCAAGTGAAAGCTATTGCAACCTCATCCATTGTCTTGTGAAGAGCCGAGTTTATTGCCAGATAATAGACCTCATAGTCATTACTCCTAACGCATCGGAGTAGATTAAAGCACTTAAGACTATAATAGGAAATGCATTGGTCTTTCCAGGTGGGATATGCCTTTGTGCTTGTCATAGAGTCTCTTAGTCTCCTTGCGTTTTTATAGATGGACAAAGATGGTTTACCTGAAGTGCTGAAAAAGTCTTTTATGCCCCCACCTCCTGTGGACTAGCGAGGTGAGTTACTCATGACCTGAAATTCGACCTACTTCTAATGTTCAATTGGGAGGAAGTTAGAGTTCAACAGCCGCTGTACCGTTTTAATGGTATCTTGCAGACAGAGAGAGCGTGGACGCCAGAGGTCTGCGTGTGTTTCCATGTAAGCTGTCTACTTTGTTTATGGCTTAGTTGGATACTGTGGATGGCCGATTTTTTCCTCAAGAGGGTTGTTTTGTCGGTGCTATTGGCTTGGGAGCTGCAGATCGCTTTGGCGGACTCAAATAAATGGTTCGGCTTATTGCAGCTAGCATACCTTTCGATTTTTCCGGTCCTGCATTGAAGTTTAAACTTCCCCGGGACTGCTACTGCACCACGCGTCTCAATCTTAAAAGGCCGCTTTTTTTGGCTTCGGTTCTATACTTAAGTAGGTGATGTGCAACCTCTTCTCCTCTTCCATTTCAAAGTACAGCATTTTTTATGAATTTATGTGTATTCTTCTGGATTTCAACTCCTTCATGTTTCCAAGAAAATTTTAAATCCGCCTGTTTGCCCTTCCGTCTTTCTGTCTGTTGCGAAGATTGTCGCTTTCGGACCCCAAATTTGAACCTTCAACTTTACCACCTTTTGAAAGAATTTGCCCTCAATAAGACTATGAAGGTGCTATCCGGCTCATTACCGTTTCATCTCAAAAGAACTAACTGTATTACAGCCGCTTCTCCAACTATTTCGCTGAAACGGAAGTGCATTTGAGTTAGTTTGAATATTTCACACTAACTGCAACAGACGTACAGTGGGGCTGAGTCCCATTTACTTATAATCAACAGTGTAGTCAACTGTGCTTTGCTAGATTATGAAGGCGTAGCTTCTCGTACGCTGCGATGGTCTCCTTCCGCCTGGCTCTCATCGTTCACCTCATCCACTCCCCATAATAACCGCGAACATCGATTGCGCAGTCCTCAGGTCAACGGGGTCTTCCGGGTGATGTGCTCCCCCCCCCCACCCGCCCTGCAAC